TCCAGCCTACTAATCTAATGCTTCTAAAAGATAGGCATGACACTTCTTAGACATTATCCTCTTTCTATATACTCTTGAGTTTTGTTATAGATATAGTTTTACTTAAAAGATTCATATAGTATGTTGTTGAGCTTCTTTTTTGATCGAGACACTGATGTAAGAAAGACTGTGTCCTATATCCATCTGCATCACAGATCTAGTGTCTTATGGTAGATCCCAGGTTCTTATGGAGTTGAAGAAATGTATTCAGACACGTGAAGTAACCAATAGTGACTTGTTTACATTATTTTACTGATGTGTTTTCTGCTAGCCAATCATTACTTGAGAAACTTTGTACTACTCAAAATTCAGGATCAAACTAAAGTAGGTAAAATTCCTCAGAAAAAATTGAGAAAGAGTACTCTTAGAGCGAACACATAACAAGAGAATTAATGGTTGCCTTCAGGATAAGTCTTTCATAATAGAAGAACTCTGTATTGTTTCTTTAGTATATGAATAGATAGCAGTATTTCAGTTATTCTTCCTTTCAGAACTTTCTTGCCATTGGTAGAAAAGGTGAATACATGACTTTGGTCATTAAAAGTCAGGTTTTTGCTTGAAAAAAATGTTTACAAGAGAAAGTCAAAGATAAAGATGACTCTTGAAATGTTATTTCAAGTTAATTTAAGGAAAGTGGTAAGACTTTATTAGTCAAGAAATATAAAAATTTCTTGCAAATGTCTTTTTTGTGCATGGTTAGAGGATCAGTAGAAAGAGTTGTATTTTGGGATAAATTATATGTACATTTGTATAAATATAATAAAAGATAAAGATTTAGAATAATTTTTTCTTCTCTATATTTTTATTTTATTAATTTAATCATTATAACTAATCTTTTATGAGTCTTATTTAACAAATTTTATCTTAAAATTTAGTATACTAAGATTTGATAAATCTTAATAAAATTCATTAAAATTTGATAATTTATATCTAAAAAATATTTCTATAGAATAATAGTTACATATATTGTGAAAAAATTTCTTTACTTATTAGTAGTAAATTTCAAAAATCCTTCACTACTATTTACTTTTCTTGAAATCTAATGACACTTAAAACATTTTTATCATTCATTGTATTTTATCTAATATATTATTTGCCAATATTCTTTTTTTAATCCATATTTGTTTAACAAGTCATTTATCAATACCTAAGAAAAAACAGTACATAAAATCTATAACTAAATACTAAATTGAATCAAAATAATGTAGTGAAGGAATTCAAACTATTTGACATAATTTTCATTAATAAAATATTTTTATATTGCATTTGAATTACAATGCCTTTATTCAATAGAATCTTGTTTATATGTTGCCAAATCTTTTAATATAAACTATTTATTTTATCCTTTATATTATTAAAATTGTAATAATTATTTTCATATTTGGCATTATTCTTATAACAATGATATGACACTAGTCTTAAAATATGTCCAAACACTTTTTATGTTGCAGAAATATTATATGAAATTAAAATTAAGGTTATATAAATTATTTTTCTACTTTATTTTTAACAGATGAATTAAACTTTATTTCTTAACATAATTGTATCAATTCATTAACAATTAAAGAAAGGCAATAATTTATTAGATATAAACTTGATTTACTAGAACCTGGCAATATGTCAAGAATCAACATATTTTCATACTTAAATTATATTTTGTATAGCAAATTTGTGATAGCTGTATATATGACTCTAGTACTATATATTTTATTATCAAATGATTGAAACTAATCAATATTTAGCATCTGTAAAAGACTTGAAATAGATGTATCAGAGTCAGTGAATTTTTAGGCAATGAGTTTAATATGCAAAAAGAGTTATCTTTATTAAGGCCAAGAAGCAGCCTTTTTATATATTTTAAAGTAATGCAAAATAAATATAAAATATATAGGGCTAAAAATACATAAATCATATGGCTTATGGTCTGGACAACTTATGTAATATACAGCTAATCATAAATGGAAAATAAGAGAAAAGAAATAAAATAAAAAGAAATGATTGGTATTTTATTCATCATAGTCTAATAGTCAATTACTATTTATGACAAACAAGTCTAGATAATCTATGTGATATGTTTGTGATATCATCTCAATATCATAATATCAGCTTGGTGATCTCAGCAATCTCAGCAGTCTTGACAGTCTCAGTAAAAGTGGGGTGATAGGCTCAAATTATTACATTCTCCCCCTCTTAAGAGTGAGACATCCTTGTCTCTTAAAATTCTTTCACTAATTATATTGCATTGGTTAATTTATCCTTAAAAATCCAGGTGACATTATGGAGAGGATACCCTATCTATTTGATTAGGTATTGAATTTTCTTATGGATGGTTTATTTGTCCAAGATAGCTTTAACTTCATATTTCTCTTATATATTATCAAAGTAGATGACTAGTAATGGTAGAATTTCTCAAAGGAAATCATCAGGTAATGATTGATATGGTTTCAATAGAGAGATGTGGAATATGGGATAAATTTTTATACTAGATAGTAGGTTCAATTTATATGCAGTCAAGGAGATTATTTCACAGATAGTGTAAGGTCCAGTATATCTTGGTATTAATTTCATGGTGGGTCAGTATTGATCTATAGGTAAGTTGGGTTCTTCATGCTGAGCAAGACTTGATCTTCTAGTTTGAATGTGAGATGACAGTAGTGTTCATTAGCATACTTCATTTGTCATTCTTGAGCTTCTCTGAGTGTGTCCTTGGCTAATTCAATTATAATATTTCAGTGATATAAAAAATTATCTATAACTAGTATATTGATGGTTGCAGTTGTTGTTATGGTAATTGGAAGAGTTGGATGTTGTCCACAGTCTAATTCAAAGGATATGAATCCAATAGAGGCTTGCTTTGATTATTATATGTGAATTCAGCAACTGGAAGGTATTCATCACATTGGTCTTGTTTATAGGTGAAGTAGACTCTAAACATTTCTTTTAAGGTTCTATTCATTCATTCAGTTTGTCCATCTGTTTAAGAATAAAAGGTAGTAAATATAACAGTCTTGGTTCCTAAGTGTTTGAATACAGCTTGCCAAAATTGGCTAGTGAACCTTGTATTTCAATATGATACAATAGTTCTTGGCAATCCATAGTTTCTAAAGATGGTGTTGAAAAAAATGTTGGTAACTTTTGATACTGTGGCAAATGTGTATATAAGTTGAAAGTATACTCATTTAGAGAAATGATCTACAAACATAACAATGGTATCATGTTCTTGTCTTATCAGAGGCAATTGTACAATAAAATCTATAGTGATTTCTTCTTATCATTTGATAGATGTTGGCAATAGTTGAAGAAGTTTAGCTGGTTGTTGATTGCTAGCTTTGTTTCTTTGGCAGGTGTCACAAGTCTAAATATATTTGCAAAGGTTTTTTCTCATCTTTGGCCAGTAGAAGGTTCTCATGATATTCTCAGTGGTCTTGTCAATTCCCAAATATTTAATGGCTTCTATGTTATAGTGCTCTCTAAGGATGTAGGTGTGGATGCATTTGTCAACAGGAATGGCTTGTCCTTCACAAAGATATATTCTTTGATTCTTTTAGATAAAGTGTTTGGCACGATTTCTTTCTTGTTCCTCAGCTTGCTCAGGATATTGCAATGTGTCAAAAATAGTAGCAAAATACTTGTCTTGTTGGTATGCTTGCAGGAAAGTCTGATCATTGGCAAGGGTGGCAGAGAGAATAGTTATGGAGGCAAGATGTAGTTGTCTTGACAGGGTATCAGCTATAATATTTGTTTTCCCAGGCCAGTATTTAACTGTGAAGTTGTGACTTTGTAGGATTTTTAATCAGTGAGTAGACTTGTCTTCTTGACAAGTTGGATTGGATCTTGATATATTCTAATAAGGTATAGTCAGTGATGATGGTAAACTGTTGTCTTTCTAAATTTATTCTCCAAGTTCTAATGGCATACACAATGGCTAGAAGTTCCTTCTTATGAATAGTATAATTTTGCTTAGTAAGAGATAGTTTTTTAGATTCATAAGCAACTGGTTGTTCTCTATTTCCTTGATCTTGTATCAAGACAGCTCCCATTGCAAAGTTTGAGGCATCAGTTATTACAATAAATGGTTTGGTAGAATCAGGCAATAGAAGAACAGGTATAGTAGTCAGATTTTTCTTTAAGATGTTAAAAGTATTGTGGGCTTTATTGGTCCATTCAAAGACTTTATCTTTGTAAAGAAGAGCAGTGAGAGGTATGGCTATTGCAAAAAATCCAGATACAAACTTGCAATAGTAGCTTGCTAGTCCTATAAAGGATCTAACTTTTGAAGCATTGGTGGGTATGAACCAATTGTTAATGGCTTCTACTTTACATGGGTCAACAGCTATTCCTTGGTCAAAGATGAAATGTTTTATATATTCTATATATTATTGGAAAAGTTCACATTTGTTGATTTTAGCATATAGGTAATATTTTCGTAGGGTTGTCAGTACAGTTCTCAGATATTGTAGGTGCTCAGTTTTTGTCTTGCTATAAATCAAAATATTATCTAGGTACACAATTACAAAGTTATCCAGATATGGATAGAATATATTATTCATTCAAGTCATAAAGGTAACAGGAGCATTGATCAATCCAAAGGAGAGAATTAAGTATTCATAGTATCCATAGTAGATTCTAAAAGCAGTCTTGTGGATGTCTTCTTCTTTAATGTGAATTTGATAATAACCAGAGTAGAGATCAATCTTTGAGAAATATTTGATACCAGTTATTTGATCCATGAATTTCTCTATATGAGATAGTGGTACTGATTCTTGATAGTGACCTTGTTTAAGGCTCTGTAATCCACACAGAGGTACAATGTTCTTTCTTTTTTGTGCATAAAAAGCATAGGGGCACCAAATAAGGAGATGCTGAGTTTAATAAATCCTTTGGCAAGGAGATTGGCAAGTTGTTTTTTGAGTTCATCCATATTTACATATGAGAGGTAATAGGTATATTTGAAGGGTGGTTTAGCTCTAGGTAGCAACTCTATAGTATGATTAATGGTTCTTTGGGGTGGCAACTCATTTGACAATTTAAGAGAAAATACATTAGCAAATTCCTTAATAATAGCAATCTCTTCAATAGCAAACTTGATTACCTTGGGTGTAACTTCCTTAGTAGTGATGGCACAGATAGCCAATAATTCTTCAATAGATAAAATCCTTACAAATTGATGTCTAGAAATAAAAAGAGATTGATATTTAGATTCTTGCTTAGTTCTGCATAGACTAGTATTTATAGTGATAGTACACAATCCATATTGAAAGGTGAGAGTGTTGCTTCTCCAATTGATATTAGGATTGGTATGATACAACTAGGGCTTCCCAAGAATGGTATTATATCTTTGCAGGCTTAGAACTTGAGCAGAGATCCCAGTGGTACAATAGGTGTCCAATTCTAGTTGCTTAATATTAACTTCAGTAGTGACTTCCTTCTTTCTTCCATTAGCAAGTTCAATAATGAATGGGATGGTGTTCTTTTACGGTAGCTGTTGTCTTATAACAAACTTTTCATTGATAAAATTTTTTGATACTCCACAATCCAGGAGAATCCAAGCTTTGGGTCCATTAATTTTTCTATTGAAATATAGTAACTGTTCCTTGTTTTTTTCTATCTGAATAAATTTAACATCTGGGGTGCACAAGGTACTATATCTTCAATATTGTTTACCTTGGCTTTTGATGGACTTCTGCATTCATGAGTGATATGTCATTCCTTCCTACAGTTGTAGCAGGTAATAGTTCTTTTTTCAGCATAGTTGTTTCTTCTAAGGTGTTAGATATAGTTATTGTGATTGTGATTATGTCGTCAGGTTTCAGCTTGATTCAATTCAACAGAATGGTTCCCTCTATAGCAGTTATTGTTAGTTGGTGGTCTTCTTGTAGTGTTTTTTCTATTGGCATACTTCTCAACTCCAAACATGGTAATGTCATATTTGATTGCTAATTTTCATATGTCATTCAATATTTTGAAAGCTTGGTAACTCACTTCTATGCATGTTGCAGGCTTTAGGCCATTAATGAAATAGGCAACTTGGTTCAATTGTTCTATAGTATCACTTTGGCTTACTATATTTCTGAACTAGGTAAGATGCTTTTGAATGGTTCCTGTTTAGCGCAAGTGTTTCAACTGGATGCACAGATACTGCTAGTAGTGAGGAGGCTAAAAGGCATTCTTGAGCTTCTTTTTGAATTTATTCCAGAAGAGAAAGACAGATTAATTGGAATCCTTGATCTTTTTAACAAACCAGTATAGGATGGCATCTTCAAATCCTGTAATGGTATAGTGAATTATTTGTCCTTCCTTGGTAACTCCTTGGGCTCTTAAGATGTTATTTGTTTAGCGCAGCCAAATCTCAATATTTTTTTTTGGTTCTTTTTTGAAAGTAGGAATTCTCAATAAATCTTTGATATGACAGTTGTAGAGAAAGAGGAATCACCTGTGATAGTCTTCTCTTTACTCTTGTCTTCTTTTATTTTCTTAATAATAGTAGCCATGATATTATTAAACTGTTACATAAAGTGTATGAATTGTTCAGTATTTATTTTGACAGAGTTTCAGATATATATATGTGTGGCAAAGGGAAGGGAATGTCTTGTTAGTCTGCTGCTACTAAGTTGTAAAAGACTTGAAATAGATATATCAAAGTCAATGAATTCTTAGACAATGTGTTTAATATGCAATAAAGTTATTTTTATTAAGGTCAAGAAATAGCCTTTTTATACATTTTAAAGTAGCTCAAAATAAATATAAAATACATATCATAATTTAATTATAGTAAAAAACTCTTTCCGCTGATTCTCTGACCACACACAAAAAAGATGTTCGCAAGAAGTTTTTATACTTCCTTGCTAATAAAGTCTTAATACTTTCCTTAAAACAACTTGAAGTATAACTTCAAGAGTCATTTCTATCCTTCTCCTATTGTTTACAAACCTCTTCCCTCAAAAACTTGACTCCTAGTGACCAAGAAAAGTCAAGCAATACCTTTGATATCAACGGCAAGAAAGCTTCCAAAGGAAGAAGAACTGACTATAAAGTACCTGAAGGCCTATTTAACCTTTGAAACGGGAGGTATATAGAGGTTTTTTGATGACAGAAGGGCTTATTTTTCCCCTTCCAGTCACTGTTGAGCCTCTCAGAGCTATCACTTTCATGATTTTCTAGGGAATTTTGCCTACCTCAGTTTGATCCTGAATTTTTGGTAGCACAAATCCTCACCAAAGGTGATATTGAACTACAGATCTTGTGATTACAACCTGGGAGCACTACCACTATGCTATTGACTTACAAGTCTTTTCTCTGTAGTTTTTATTTATTATAAAATAATATTGTCATATGATAATTTATACATATTAAATGTATTATATACTATATATACTAACTAGCCTTATTAAGGGAAATCATACGACACTCTTTTAATTTTTCCTAGAACAATTTTATAGTGTAATCTAATTATCAGACTATTATATATACTCTAACCTGTCTCCAGTTTTGAAATTTCAACGTGATCCATGGATTCCTCCTCACATCAAGGTCTTCCGATAATTTGTCACAAGTAAGATTGATCATACTTTTATGTATCCCATTGATACAATATTTACTTTTTTCAGGACTTTGGCCTTCTTAACTTAACAATTTCTTTATTAGTCAGTAAGATTGATGAAGTGCCTTCGCCAATCCAGTTTCTATTCTAGTTGATCACGAGATCAGCCCCATCCTCCTTCATTTTATTATGGTAATAATAAGATACTGAGCATCCACAATATCCATAAACCAGCCTGATCTAATAAAGATCAGCTATATGTAGAGATCTCAATTTTTATTTGAATCCAAATGATCTGCAGATTTGATCCGAATGAATCGGATCAGATTTTAAATTTTTTAATCCGTTTGTATATGAATCGCATATGGATTTCAAATTTTGAAATCCGATCTGATCGGATTCTAAATTTTGTATCTGATCAGATTTCAAGTTTTAAAACCTAGCCAGGTTAAATAAAAATCAGCAGTTTAAATGTAGCTATTTAAGGTAATTA